GTGAGAAAGCAAGCTGCCGGATCTGGGACTCTAACCATAGTCAGCCATGTGGGAGCCCAGTGTCTTAACCACTACGCCACCTGCTGGCCCTGGGTGAGATTTTTTTTTTTTTTTTTGGTGCTTCCCAATTTTTCTACAATGCGGTGGATACTCTTACAAAGAGAGAAAAAAGTAGATGTTAAACACTAGGTATGTCGAGAGGGAGGGGAGCAGTTAGTGACCCTGGCACCTTGCTCTGTGCCTCTGTGTCGTTTGCTATGGGGAGACTTAGCTCAGCTATGCAGGAGAACTGGTTTGGCCCAGGTATCAGACACTTAGAGGGGATTTGCCCGCGGCCAGGGCCAGGGCAAAGCCCTATTTACGAACCTCTTTTTCCTACAAAATTGTTTAGGATGATTTAAGCAAGTGCTATCGTCTTTTAACTTGTCTGGGGACTCCTTCCCTTGCCTGACAACCCCTAGGCCTCTTGAAAGCACTGAAAAGCTTTTCATATACAAGTCCCTTGCCCCTGACATGGAATTGAACTCTTCTCTGTCAGTACTGTATTCAGTGGCAGCACCTCGAACCAGTTACTTACTTTTTATTCTTTATTTAAATTTTTTTCTTTCTTTATTCAACTTACTTTATTCAGAAAGTAAGTTCAGAAAGGGCTGGCAGGTGGAAGTTAAATTACTGGATCCATGGCTGACCGTGTGGTTTGAGTTCCAGACCCAGCAGCTTGAAAACCATGCCAAGCGCATGTGTGGTCATGCCCAACGTCCTGAGAGGAGAATGAAGGAGAAGGGATTGCTGCATGGTCATCTCCCATGGGAGGGGATGGTCTATAGCAAACTAAAAAAAAAAAAAAAAGAAAAGAAAAGAAAAAGAAAGTTCTGCCAAGGCCTCAGGGATTCACGCAGGCCTGTCCAGCAGGCCATGCTCTTGCACGTCACAGGCCTCTCGTGAACGTCCTCTTGGGTGCAGTGGCTGGTCTGGAGTCCTCACTTAGACTGAAGAAGTCAAAGGTGGTAGGTCTCAGGGGTCGGACCCAAGAAAAATGGGCAGGATCCTGATTCCACAGAGTAATTTCAAGAGCTTTATGGAAAAGCAAATGTCACTACCAAAGCTTTAAACGTCTCTGCCTGATGCTTCTCTAGTCACGTGAACCACATTAGGGAAAGTGACATGTTATTATAGGAGAAAGGCGTGTTGCACTTTCACAAAGGACACTGGATCCAAGGAGCCTGTGGTGTTAATCCCTTTTTGGATGAATTCGTCACCCTTTGTCACTTGTGACTTTTAGACTAGCCTGTTTGACTAAATAAACTGGCCGTTTTCTTTGAACTTATTTGCCTGCAAAAATATTTACTTTTCATGCTGTCTGCCCTTTGAACAGCATCCTGGTGGAGAAGAAGTCCTGAGGGAACAAGCTGGAGGGGACGCTACCGAAAACTTTGAGGATGTGGGCCACTCTACAGATGCTCGGGAGCTGTCCAAGACGTACATCATCGGGGAGCTTCACCCAGTGAGTGCTTTCCTGGGGCCTGTTCTCGCTTCTCTTTAAGGCCGTTGGCCACACCCAAGTCTGGAGACTGCCGTGGATGCAAAATTTCAAAAAGGGATAAAGCAAACACAGCTACTCATGATTTTAGAACCCCTTTTTCCCATACAGCGATCAGAGTGTCTGTGCGCTTCACAGACTGGGGTTTTCTCTGCGCTAGAGTCTGAGCACGGTAGCCCAAGGCTGTGTGTGAGGCTTTCAGTCTTTGAAATTCCTTAGAATTTTCTTTTCTTTTTTGGGGGGGAGAGGTTTTTGCTATAGGGCGTGTGTGCCCCCCAGAAAGACAGAGGCAGAGAGATAAAAAGCAAGAAATCACCCCCCAGCAGGGATCCCTTCGCCGCAATCACCCCACGCTGCAATCCCTTCTCCTCCATTCTCCTCTCAGGATCTTGGGCACGCACACATATGCGCCCGGCATGAGTTTAAGCCACCAGGTCCGGAACTCAAACCAAGGTCGACTACATGGGAGTCCAGCGACATAGCCATTATGCTAACTGCTGGTCCCAGAGCAGCACATTTTAAAAGGGGGGATATCAATCCAGCATAGTTCTTCTTTTTTCTTTTTTGAACACAAAATTTCTCTTAAGAAACCTCCTCCCACTTTAATTACTCTGAGGATACTTGAATTCTTTTTTTTTTTTCCTAATCCCCAAAGGGTACATATACTCACCAGAGGTGTTGGGGGACCGAGAGAAGAGAGAAAGCACCCCCGAGTATGAGACATGGTATCGTTGCCATCCTGTTTTCCTCCACTTCACCATCCTGTCAGTGTTTTGGGCATGCAAGCCCACAAATCTGGCATGGTTTTCAAGCCACTGGGGCTGGAATTCAAACCGCAGTTGGTCAAACGGGATTTGGCTCTCTTAACTACTGTACTGCTGGGCTGGACTAGAAATACATGAATTCTGGGGCCAGCAGGCAGCATGGAGGTTGGAGCGGATCCCACTTGGCCGACTGCATGGTTCAAGTCCCAGACCAAGCAGCTTGAGGATCATGCCGTGTGTGTGTGTGTGTGTGTGTGTGTGTGCGCACATGCATGCCCGGGGTCCTGAGAGAAAAGTGGAGGAGAGGGGATTGCAGCATTGCCGTTCCCCCTGGGGGGGTGATTTCTCACTTTCTGTCTCTCTATCTCCCCAGTGACCATATGCATCCTATGGCAAAGGAAATCTTAAAAAGAAAAAAGAATACATTAATTTTAAAAATAATGTTTAGAAATGAGAAAGCTCAGCCCCGTTGAATAAGTAAGCTCTGACTTGTGTAAAAGGAGCGCACTGTCCTCTTCCTGCTCGCTGCCCAACCCGCCAGAATGTCAGTTTGGGTGCAGTTCATTGACTGACTTTTGGAAAGCAGTGACTGATTAGCCTTCACATAAACGCGGACCTGTAATATGAATTTAGACCCTTCCGTGGCAGTTTTAAATGACTCTGTCGTACTTCATGAGCCCATCAGCCTGCGGTACCAGAATATAACGGGAGTTCTCTGAGCATCCAGGGTAGGTTCAGGGCCAGGTTCAGCTTTCCTCCTTAACTCCAGACAGTGTCGAGTGTTGCCTTAGTTTGCCACTTCATGGTACAGGAGGAGTGGCCAACCAGCAGGGAGCTGAGGTGTTGCTAGAAGCAGGCTTTTCTCTCACAAGACAAAAAATAAATACAAGTAGTGTAATCCCAAGTGAGCCAACAGAGAAACAACTAAACTGCCCCCTCCCCCAAATAATAAATAAGTAGATAAATGAAAACAAGTGTTACGTATGTGATTGGTGCAGCTTGTAGTGACTGAATGAAGGAAAGTTAGGCTCTTTGTACAAGGCCCGAAAGTAAGACACCCACTTTATACCCTCCATGTAATGGGGAGGAGTTTCGTTTTGTTTGATTTTGGTTGTGGCAGATCTGTACTTTGAGGAAGTGATCAACTCGACTTATCTGGAAAGTCTATTCTCCACTATTTTATCTTCCTCCCTCATAAAGGTGAGGTAGTTTTGTGATAAGCAGAGAGGCCTGCCCTTATCAGTGTTCAGTTCTATCCCCCAGCGCTCATGGAATGGGGGTAAGTCCACCTTGCCTGCCTGCTTGGCTTCCCTGTGATCAGCCTTTAGACACACTTGGTCTTTGACGGCCCCAGCCTGAGATTGAAATGATTTATGGGGCCAGCAGGTGGCTTAATGGTTATGTCACTGGACTCCCCCATGGCCGACTGCGTTTTAGTCCTGGACCCAGTGGCTTGAAACTCATGCAGGACACGTGTCCTTGTGTGCCCAAGATCTCAGGAGGAGAATGGAGGAGAAGGGATTGCAGAATGGTCATTCCCCTGGGGGGTGACTTCTCACTTTCCCTTCCACTGTCTCTGGCAAATGCAAACACGCTAAGGCAAAAACCTCTGCAAAAAATTAAAAATAGTCTATGATTCTACAATTGGGAGATTGCAGTGATTCACTGAGGGTGTCTCACAAATTATATATATATATGTATACATATATATACACACACACACACATACATACGTATATACACCTGCCAAGGGGAATATGAGCACAAAGAAGGGAGGAATTAGGTCTTCAGCTGCTCCCTGAGTTAAAAGATCGCAATCTAGTCTAATTAATGTATATGTACATCAGTAAGTCATAGGACTGTTATGGGTGCCATCCTGAACTTTGGACCTCTAGATAGAAAAATGCCTCTTAATACATCATCTGCTACTAATTTTTGCTGTAATGTGAGGTGGATCAGACTTTGTATTTTTTTTTTTTTTTGGAGAGGTTTTTGCTATATGGCGTGTGCGTTCGCCAGAAAGACAGAAAGACAGAAAACAAATCACACCACCCCTGGGGGGGGATGGCCATGCTGCAATTTCTTCTCCTCCATTCTCCTCTTAGGATCTTGGACATGCATGCACAGGTGCCTGGCATGAGTTTAAGTCACCGGGTTTGGGACTCGAACCATGGTCCAACTACATAGGAGTCCAGCAACGTAGCCATTATGCCAGCTGCTGGTCTCCAGACTTTGTATTTTAACAGCCAACTGTGGAACCCAAAATGTTAATTACTGAATAGTAATTAAAACAAATTTTTTTCCAATGGAACTAAGCACTTTGGAAGCTGTACTTTTTATAGATTTTTTAAAAAATTTCTGTAATGTGTTCTTTTTTTTTTTAATTGCAGGATGACAGATCAAAGATAACCAAGCCTCCGGTAAGTGTGACCATCGCAAAGATTTCTGTGGATAGAGTTATCTTTATTGTATTTACCCATCAAACTGGGGACAAAGGTCTTTTTAGCTGACTGAGGTCACCAAAGTTCTTGCTAGGTAAGATTATGTAACCTATAGGCTTGGCAAATGTTTATTTACATAGATCAATCAATATGTTTTTGGAGATAGCGTGTTTGTTGCTTTTGTAAGACTCTCAATACTTTAAGCTTCCATTTTCTTTGTAGTTATCAATAAATACCTTGTGAAGAGCTGCTTTTTATAAGTTTCCCTGTGCTTCTAATTTGAAAGATTTGACACAAGCCTTATTTTCAGAGAGTTAAAATCTGATTAAAGTAGAGGCCTTAGTTCTTAAATCTTTGAGGACATTATCCATGTCTTTTTTATGACCTGATTTTTTTTTCTTATGTAAAGGAAAATAATTCTAGTAGTACTAATGTACGCTCTGATTTATCCACTTTTTTCTTTAGACTGACCATCTCTCTTATATTTGGTAAATCTAGAGTAAGAATTGATGAGAAAAGTCAAAGCTCAAGAAAAGCTCAAGTAGGCACAATGGTTCCTGGCCTGTAGTTAAAGGACATAAGAGGAAGTTTTACTTACAACAAATGACAAAATGGAAGTATAATTTTTTCCTTTTGGTGCACAGTCTAGTTTTTTCTACAGAGAACATAAAAGCAAGACTCTAGAAAGCTTAGATTAAGAACTAGTGAACTCATTTTATTAGCAGTTGCTGACATGACAAGTTTAATCTGCAGGAAATCAAAGCAGTCCAATAACGGGACCATAAAGGCCAGGCCTCTCTCAGTACCCCGGTAGCCCAATAAAAATCTTATGTAATGCTGATTAGTACAAAGCAGTTCACTTGTATTTTCTCCTTTTATTATTAAAGAAAAAAAAAAGGCATAAGTAAATGATGATATAAGTACTTCAGGAAGATAAAAAATGGACTTCAGAATTTGAATGGCCTGTAACAACTACTTAAAATCTTTACTGTAGGTCATTCAAAAGTACCTTTTTAGAAACTTCATTTATTCCACAAGTAAGAGAAATAGAGACAAAGAGACGGAGATAGCACCCCATCAGGGTCCTGATGCTGGGACCCATCCTCCGCCAGCCTGGGTCATGGACATACGTATGTCTCATGTCCTCGAAGAGCTCTCTGAACCGGAGCTGGGAGCCCTCGCCTTGGGCACATGTATGTCTCATGTCCTCGGAGAGCTCTCTGAACCGGAGCTGGGAGCCCTCGCCTTGGGTACACGTATGTCTCATGTCCTCGGAGAGCTCTCTGAACCAGAGTTGGGAGCCCTTGCCTTGCAGAGCATTTTGGTTACCGCTGTGCCACTATCTGGCCCCTTGAAGTATCTCTTCTGGGGCTACTTGTTGGATTGCTGAAATTCTGTGATTCTTGCATTTTTTTCTTTTTCTCTGAAGTGCATCAGGGAAAAAACATGTCTTTCCTGTAGGATATTCAATGGACAGTCTTGGGGCAAATCATTCAGCTACAGGGAAACAGAGTTTATGAACTTAGATCTGCTGCAGAGCCAGACGTGTTCCTACCCAGATGCTTACAGGCAGAACACTGTCAACCCTGGGATGGGAAAGTGGCGCCTTTCATCGCTGATTCGTGTTTGAAGCCCGGGCCGTTCCTTCCCCGTTTGCTTTCAGAACACGTGCATTACAACTGCCCTCCATGCACTACCAGTTGCCTATTTCTAGTCGTTTTCTGCTTGTTTGTTTTTCTATTTTAAGTGCCATTCACTTTGGGGGACAGAGCCCATTTACATGTAAAATTCTGGGAATCAAGCTTTCAAGACCAAAGAAGGCTTTCCTGACAGCAGCCTGATAAGAGTGGGCAGCTCTGTATTGAGAAGACTATGGTTAACCTCAGTGTGTCATTGGAGGTTGATGTTTAATCAGAGGGCTGGGTAAAGACAGTCTCGCTGGAGTTTAAGAATTACACTAACTTCTAGGGACCAGCAGTTAGCGTAATGGCTATGTCGCTGGACTCCCACGTAGTTGACCGCGGTTCGCGTCCCAGACCCGGTGGCTTAAACTCACGCCAGGCACGTGTGCGTGCGTGCCCAAGATCCCGAGAGGAGAATGGAGGAGAAGGGATTGCGGCGTGGCCATCCCCTCTGGGGGGTGATTTCTCGCTTTCTATCTCTCTGTCTCTCTCTGTCTGTCTGGCGAGTGCACGTGCCCTATAGCGAAAACCTCTCCAAAAAAAAAAAAAAGAATTACACTAACTTTTTAAAAATAGCTATTTTTACTTTTTTCGGAGATTTTACTAGTGGACCAACTTTCAAGTATTTTATTAAAAGAAAACCACTCCACTTTATTACGTCTCTGCTTAAATAGAACAGAAATGGAGGCATGCGGGGCAAGAACTCGCTGGTTTTTTCAAGTGCCCCCAAGGAAATGAAATGAAGGAAACTACATGACTACATACCTATGTGTCTGTCTGTCTTGTGCTTTTGATTCACCAGAAGAAAAGCACATCCTTAGATATTTCTTTTGTTATGTGTTTGTGTAACTATCCATCTAGGCTGAAAAATACACACTGTAGTTTGAATTTTTGAAATGTTGCCTGCTTAACACACCCCATTGAATTGTGAGGTAAGATGCACCAAAGATGACTAGCTTGCACCTGCCCAGAGGGGAAAGGCATAAAGTGAAGGTGCCCAATTAAGATGTCTGCAGATGGGTGCCATGCCACGATCACCTGCCAGCCAGCCAGAGTCCCTGGAATGTGGGTCTGACAAGTGTGTAGACCAGGGAACCAGCCTCTGATTTATCATATGACCCAGTTTTCCTCGAGCATTATTTTACCGAGACAGCTGAGCTGACCTGCAACACCCTGTGGTGGTTAGTGTTTCAAAGCATTGTTACCCAGTTTGTTTTATTTGGTTCTCACGGTGATGAGCACCTTGTTCAGAGTCACGCTGTCCAGAACTAAGCCCATCACCTACCTCAGGCTAGCCAGTTGCAGCCTCTCAGGCTTCTTCTGTAGGCTCTGGACTTGAGAAGTGTTACTCCTCAGTGCCACGACGGAGAAAGTTTTCTCACTGAGGAGTGGGCTGAGTAAATAAACATGAGAATGGGAGGCTGCTTTGAAAAAGCTACTGTGGCTTTACACGTTTTTATATGGAACTTATTTATCATAATTTATACTGATTTCAATTACTTGACCGCTAGCCCTTTTTACTAGACGTCGAACCCCTCAAAGTCACAGAGTGTACAGGTGGCAGAATCTGCCATAAAGCTTCGGTCATTTTCTCCTTGTTCGTTGTTGACATTTTTGATAGTTATACCCCAACTCCAAACGAGGCCCTCAGAGCATCACCACAAAGACAAGAATGTTTTTCTTTTTTTTTAGAGAGATTTTTTTGCTATGGGGTACGTATACTCACTGGAGAAACAGAGATAGACAGAAAGTGAGAAGTCATCCCCTGGGAGGGTGGCCACTCCACAATCCCTCCTTCTCTCGGGATCTTGGGCACACGTGCATATGCACTCAGAGTGATTTTTAAGCCTCTGGGCCCAGGACTCAAGCTGTAGTTGACTACGTCCGAGTCCAGCGATGTAACCATTGTGTCATCTGCTGATCCCAACAATCACTTTTTCGTAAGTGTTCTGAGTAGTAAATTAAACTTGTCCCGACAACCCTGCGTTATAGAGAATAATAAACAATCAAAAAGTTATGTGGTTTTTTTAAGTTCAGCTCTAGAGAGGATCATCGTTGTTGGTAGTGATGTCTCACTAGCAGTGCACTCATCGTGCCTACAAAGGAGGGGGAAGGAGGGCCACCCAAGCTCCAGGAAGATTCCTCAGCATGTTGGTAAAATGCATACCTCCTGCCCTGTATGACAGTGTAAGGGTGTTGATGTTCAGACGTTCATGTTTGCCTTCGTTTTCTGTTTCAAGTGTGATAACATTTTACCTTCAGGGACTTGTTTTGTCACAGAACTGACTTTGTCCTTCTTTAACAGCTGAATAACATTGTTTTGCATGTGTCTTTTTGTAACCTTTGTTAATTTTATTAATGTATGCACCATTTGAAAAATTGTATTGCAGCACTTATGAATGCTTTTCGTAGTCATCGAGATTTTAAAATGCCTTAAAAAGTATTAAATTTGACATTTTCATTTTCAATCAATGATTTGTTTTTCCCTACCATATCAGGAATCTTAAACGTGAAGTTTCAAGGTTGGTGGGTCTCATAACTGCTTTGCTTGCTCTTCTGCTTTTTCCTGGGAGTTTCTTTCATGTGCTTTGCAGAGTGTAGCTTGGACTCACTGCAAACAGCTGCTTGTTTTGCTACTGTAATGTTTTACTGTGCTTCGGGGAACTGCAGGGAGGACTGTGATGCAGCCGCCTTGTTTATGGCACTAATACTGTTGCTGGTGTGAAATAACAGAATGCTGTCTAACACGCTTTCAAGCCTAGAAAGGCTTATGTTTTACTAGTCATTAGTTTTTCAGCGGTTCGGAAAAGTATGCATTTTCCCTAGGGCCATTGTCACTTAGTAGTTCTCCCAAGAAAAGCTGCTCTCAGAAAGCGTTTCAAGGTAAAATCTGGGCTTCCTTGTTGGGAAGCTTGTCCAGGTGATGGTCGCAGTCCCATGAGGCCAGCCGCTGCCATGCCAGCCCGTGGGTGCTGCGTAGTCAGAACGAGAGGGGAGTAGTGGTCTCACATGTTAGACCCCGACGTGACAGCTCTTAATATTTTGCTTTTGGTTGACATGTATGTAATGTAGCAGAGGTACATTTTGCATCCTGTCAGATTCGAATGAAGCAACTGATGTTTTTATGAAACAGTTTCCTCCATGCTAAGATGGTGATGAGTGGTGTGTACGTGTATTGGGGTACTTGTTTTCAGTTTGTGCATTAAAGCATTCAAATGTCTGTTGTGTTAGGATATGTTATGAGGTATATTAATCTTTAACATGTTCAAATGATCAAGGTTGTATAATTTAAATATAGATAATTCTTAAAATATTTTATTCTAAAAACAAGGATAAAATTAGGCATTTTAGTGAAAAGGCATTTCTGATATAATAAAATATTGTGATCTTATTTTAAAGCCGGTTTGTAATCAGTGGAATAAACACCAAACGTTCCCTTTAACTTACTTTACTCTTTCTGTGTGTGTTTCAGGAAACTCTTATCACTACTCTTGAGTCAAATTCCAGGTACGTGGTAGTTTTCACTTAGGGCAGTATTGGTGTGGAGGCTCAGAAAGTAGAGCTGGCGAACAGGCTCCGTGCCAACGCCAGAGCTCGCCCTGTGGCTCCATCAACCCCAAGGAGTGTATAGGACGAAGGGACACTCCTTCTCCCTGGCCAGCCTCAGACAGTCAGTTCTGTGGCTGCTTCATTAGTCCAGCTCTGGGCAGGCATTCCATTTCCTTCCTCATTTAATATGTAGTTCTGTTCAGTTCGTTCTTTCTTTCTCTCTCTCTCTCTCTCTCTCTCTTTCTTTCTTTCTTTCTTTCTTTGCCATAGGGTTTTTGTGCTTAAGAGAGAGAGAGAGAAAGAGAGAGAGAGAGAAAGGGAAAGTGAGAACATGCACCCTAAGGGGGATAGCCATACCACAGTCTGTTCTCCTCCATTCTCATCTCAGGATTTTGGACATACATGCGCCCAGTGTGTTTTTCAAACTACAGGGTCCAGGATTTGAACCTTGGAATTGTTCAGATTGACTCTAGCCCCTTAATCACTGTGGCACCAACTTTTCCTCAGTTTCATAACCAGTAGTGATTATATTCCCAGAGCATAGCTCAGTTCTCCAAGTACCCCACAGTAGGGTGACTCACAAGTTCTAGGGACCAGATTTCTTTGTTATTATGTAAACTCAAGGTCATGTCTGGCAGCTCTACCAAATTATATAATAGCCATTTTGAGGGGGCCCAATCTCAAAAACACACCTTTATATTTCATGCCGTCAGCATGAACTGCTCCAGTTTGCCCATGGACACTGCTTCACCTGACTCTCTGCTGTTGTGCCAGTTTCTTTCTAAAGGGAAATGGAAAAACCCCACCAGACCCCGCTGGGGTGATAATTGCACTTGTAATACTGTCACAATTTCAGGCTTTACATTGAATGTGATCTGTGGGCTGATGTGTGAGGAAGATTTAAAAAGAGAAAGTTTATGATGTAAAATATGTTCACATCATTTATTTGGATTCT